AAACAATAAAATTAGAGGAACCGTTACGGAGACGGGAACCAAAATGGGCTCGCGGACTACGGCGACAAGAGCACGTGACAACAGGCACCGCAGCGAGCAATGCCGGCTAGATAATAGGCACGGGCAAACCGACAACCAATCAACGTTCGCCGTTGCTTCGAACACGTGTGAAGCCTTCCGTTCACATGTGCGGCCCAAACATCCCAGACGTCCCATGAGGGCGTTTCAGCGTTGGGTAACGACCAATCAGCGTGTGGCAAACTTGGCGTTAGGTAACGCTGCCTGAGGACGACTAATAACCCAGAATTGACACGCCAAGTCGCCTTCGTCTATGCCAGCACCATCCTTCTAGTTACATTAATCGACACTACAAAGACAGAAAGGAGTCTGAAGTTGGCTCTTAATGCAAGATACAGATGGTGCCAACGTCTCACTTATAGCTGCAGCCAATGAAACCTAATATCAAAAGTCTCGTCATTAGGCAGAAAGTCAGAGGACTTTCTCGGTCACCCCTTACCACATAGAATCAGGAAATGGCTGATTCGGGAGATGTAACAAACTTAGAATGAATGAAATACAGACTGGGGGCATCAAATAGACAGATTAAATCCGAAACTGTATAAATCTAACCACATTTTCTTTCGTCTTCCTCCCCCCCCCCGCTGCTATCATGCTGCTGCGTCTAAATATAACCAGAATTTAAGATTAAATAACCAGGGGAATAAACACGATTCAGAATTAAAATTGTTCGCCCTAATAAAAGGAGGGTGGCGACTCCCGACAAAGAAACAGAAACCTTCTAGACATCTGCTCAACAAAAGTCACAGACTGTCCACAGTAAGGCATATGATGTAGCACAGGCAGTTTACAGAGGCTGAAAATATTTGTTGGTGGATTCAGTCAAACCACGGAATAGCTTCCTGAGATGTCACAGCCAAGCTTTGTACTCTTTTTCTGGGATGCACAAAACGATTATATTTTAGGTTATCCAACTACTATGCTGACACCGCAAAGCAAGCATCCTCTGCGCACAAAGTTGGTAGTTGCATTTGGTAATGCATCAGACATGTTACACAGTTTAGAAATTCTATAAAACGGACTAAATTTGTTCAAGGCAGATTAGAGGGAGGCACATACTTTGAATTTTTAATATCACGTGTTCGGCTCTAA